GTCCCTCAGTCGAGGCGACTCCTTCTGGCTTTTTTCTTGGAAACAACTAAGGGTCTGGACCCTTGTTTTCTTTCCCTTTTCTCGCCGAGTCCCTTAGTCGAGGGGACTCCTTCTAGCTCTTTCTTGGAAACGACTAAGGGTCTGGACCCTTGTTTCCTTTATCTTTTCTCGCCGAGTCCTTTAGTCGATGCGACATCTTCTGGCTTTTTCTTGGAAACGACTAAGGGTCTGGACCCTTGTTTTCTTTCTCTTTTCTCACCGAGTCCCTCAGTCAAGGCGACTTCTTCTGGCTTTTTCTTAGAAACGACTAAGGGTATGGGCCCTTGTTTCCTTTCTCTTTTCTCGCCGAGCCCCTCAGTCGAGGCGACTCCTTCTGACTTTTTCTTGGAAACGACTAAGTGTCTGGGCCCTTGTTTCCTTTCTCTTTTCTCGCCGAGTCCCTCAGTCGAGGTGACTCTTTCTAGCTTTTTCTTGGAAACGACTAAGGGTCTGGACCCTTGTTTCCTTTCCCTTTCTCGCCGAGTCCCTCAGTCGAGGTGACTCTTTCTAGCTTTTTCTTGGAAACGACTAAGTAGTGCTGTCAATACGGGCTGGCGGGGCGGGCGCAGGCCAAAGCCCGGCGGGCCGCGGGCCTAAACGGGGCGGGCTAAAAAAGCCTGCTCCTAAACGGTCCTAGGTTTGACAGGCCCGGACCGCCCCGCCAATGGCCCGCGGGCTAGGCGGGCCCCCGCCCAAAACCTTTTTTTTAAAAAAAAAAATTGTTCATCAAACATCAAATTAATTAAAATAAATTGATACATAAGTCATAACTCACATGAAACATAATAATCAAACATAAAGTTCAAAGTTCATAGTTTATCAAACATCAAACTAGTCACAACTACAAAGTCCAAAAATATTACACATAAAAATAATTTTAAAGTGCATATTTTATATAAAAATGTTTTATATAAAATAAAATAAAATAATGGCGGGTAGCCCGCGGGCCCGGCGGGGCGGGCTTGGCGGGCCGCGGGCCTAAGCGGGGCGGGCCAAAAAAGCCCGCTCCTAAACGGTCCTCTATTTTCAAAACCCGCCCCCTACCTAAGTAAGGGCGGGGCGGGCCGGCCCGGCGGGCTAAGCCCGTTTTGACGGCTCTACGACTAAGGGTCTGAACCCTTGTTTCCTTTCCCTTTCTCGCCGAGTCCCTCAGTCAAGGGGACTCCTTCTAGCTCTTTCTTGGAAACGACTAAGGGTCTGGACCCTTGTTTCCTTTCTCTCTTTTTCTCGACACTGCTACCGGGATGTGAAGGATGATATCGCTTTTATTCAAGATTTAAACTTCAGGTGGATACATAGGCTAACCTTTTAAGGCTTCAAATTTACTGATAGAATTTCTTTAAGTGGATCACATTCCAGATTCGGTCGATGAGCTTCCCTTCCAGCGTTTCTAGTTTGTATGTGCCGGCTTGAACCACCGCGGCAATGAGATAGGGTCCTTCCCACTTAACCGCGAACTTCCCACCTTCCGTGGGCTGGCTTGCCTGCCAGTCTCGTAGCACGAGGTCGCCGACCTGAAAGGTCCGCGGGCGAATCCTCCGATCCCGATATCTTTTTACGGCCGGTTGATATTCCACCATTCGAGCATACGCGGCCTCTGTTCATTCCTCCAAGAAGTTCTTCTCAATCCTGTGGTTTTCTTCATTCCCTTCATACGAATAGTTGCGGACTCGGTGGGTGGGTTCAACAACTTCTATCGGAACTTTTGCTTCGAAGCCGTACGCCAGGGAAAACGGGTTTTCACCAGTCGCCCGTCTCTGTGTGGTTCGATAGGCCCATAGAACTTGGTCGAGCTCGTCCGCCCAGTTTCCTCCAATGTCTTCTAGCTTCTTCCGAATTCCGTCTACTATCGTTCGGTTCACGTTCTCGATTTGCCCATTGGCTTAAGGGTAAGCGACGGACACCTTGGTGTGATGTATACTATGTCGACGACAGAAGTCGGCGAACGGCTGGCAGTCGAACTATCGGCCGTTATCACTAACTATATGTTCAGGCAGTCCGAAGCGGCAAATCACCTTCTTCCACAGGAAACGTCGACATTGGTACACGGTAATGGTGGCTAGCGGTTCCCCATTTAGTGAAGTAGTCGATGGCTACAACACAGAATTTCAAACGTCCGGGGACGACTGGCAGTGGGCCTAGCAAGTCGATCCCCCATTTTGCAAATGGGATGGCCGTGGTGACTGGCGTATAGAAAGTGGCGGGCCGAGTATCTTTTCGAGCGAATGCTTGACAAACCACACACTTGGCTATCCATTCGATGCAGTCTCTCATCATGGTGGGCCAATAGTATCCTTGAACGACTAACTTTCGGGCGAGAGTGTGGGCACCTTAGTGGGCAGCACAGATCCCGCGGTGGGCCTCGTCCATTATCTTCTCCGCCTCGGGCCTGAGTAGACATCTAAGGAGGGGACCTCCGAATGATCGTTTGTACAACTGTCCGTCGACGATCTCAAACGACGGGGCCTTGCGGCGGACCCTTGCGGCGGCTCTTGGATCTTCCAGAAATTCTCCCTTTTCCTTGTATCGCCGGATATCTTCGATCGAGAACATCTCAGGATTCTTCTCCCGATCCCATTCCTCGACCGCCACCTACTGAACCTCTAAGGTCGTTTCTTCTATGCTGGGTCGAACTAGTTCTTCTTTTTGACAGATCCTAACGAGGTGGTCCGGCACACCTTCTAGGGCGATCTTGGATAATATGTCGGCTTCTGTATTATCCGCTCGTGAAATGTACTCTATCTCGTACGTTTCAAATCCTTTTAGCAATTCCAGCGCTTTTCCTCTATACTGGGTCATCCGAGCGTTCTTAGCTTCGCATGTCCCGGATATCTGTCCGACCATCAGACGAGAGTCGGTCTTGATCCGCAGGCGTCCTACCCCCAGTGTCTTGGCGAGTCGTAGGCCACCCAGCACAGCTTCATACTCGGCCTCATTGTTAGATGTTGGGAACAGGTAGCTTAAAGCGTAATAAAGCCGGAATCCCTCCGGTGTAATTAACATGACTCCGTCACCACAATGTTGACGACTTGCTGCTCCATCTGCATGCATCTCCCACCATTCGCCCGGACTATCTTTTGTGGTGCCCCCTTCGTCGCTTTCCCCGGCGGTGCACTCGACCAAGAAATCGGCTAGGGCCTGCCCCTTGATTGATGGGCGAGGCTGGTACTCGATTCCATACTGAGTTAACTCTACTGCCCATTTAACCAGCCGACCTGATGACGTGGGATTTCGCAATACGCTTCCCAGGGGTTGATCAGTCAAGACCCGAACGGTGTGGGCTTGAAAGTAAGGTGCTAGTTTACGCACAGTGGTCACCAAGGCATAGACAATCTTTTCCAAGGGCGTGTACCGCGCCTCGGCGGCTTTCAGGGAACGGCTTACGTAATATACCGGGTGCTGGACACGCTCTTCTTCTCGGACGAGTACCGAGCTCACCGCCCTAGAGGAGGCTGCTAAGTATAAGAACAATGGCTTTCCGACCTGAGGGGTGGACAGCACCGGCGGTGTAGAAAGATATCTCTTTAATTCTTCGAATGACTGCTGGCACTCGGTTGTCCACACAAAACCATCTTTCTTCTCCATGGCTTCGAAGAACGGCACAGTCTTATCCGCTGCTTTGCTCAGGAAGCGACTGAGGGCAGCCAGTCGACCGGTTAGCCGCTGCAAGTCCTTAACGGTGCCGGGAGGCTGCATGTCTATGATGGCCTGCACTTTCTCAGGGTTGGGCTCGATGCCCCTCTTGGTCACCATATATCCTAAGAGTTTCCCCCCTTGCACTACGAAGGCACACTTTTTTGGGTTAAGCTAGAGGTTGTACTTAAGCATTACCTGGAAGGAGTCGGCCAGATCCTCCGCATGGTTGATTTCTTCTCGGCTTTTAACCAGCATGTCGTCCACGTAGGCCGCCATGGATTTTCCTAGTAGGTCTTGGAACAGTCGGGCGACCATTCGAGTGTACGTAACCCCCGCGTTTTTGAGTCCGAAAGGCATGACTCGGTAACAATACACCCCATCCGGCGTTAAGAACGCGGTTTTCTCCTCGTCTGCTTGATGCATGAAGATCTAATGATACCCCCTGAAAGCATCCATAAAACTCAGCAAAGTCGACCCCGCTGTCTCGTCGACTAGTTGATCGATCCATGGTAATGGAAACGGATCCTTCGGACAGGCCTTGTTGAGGTCGGTATAGTCTACGCACATTCGCCAGGCCGGGGGTTTTGGTACAAGTACCACTTTCGCCAACCATTCTGGGTATTTGACTTCTCGGATATGACCTGCAGCTAGCAGTGTGTTTACCTCCTTTTTCACAAACTCCCTCCTATCGTTAGCCAAGTAACGCTTCTTCTGTATGACTGGTCGGTGGTCGGGGTCTACGGCGAGTCGGTGAGCAATGATAGACCGGTCGACTCCCGGCATATCCTCTGGCCCCCAAGCGAAGACCAACCGATTCTCTCGAAGTACTTTTATTATTCCCTCACGTATCTCCTCCGAGAGACCGTCGCCAATCCGGACCCGCCTTTCTGGCCGCCCGGGGTCGATCTCGATCTCTTCTAACTCCACGGCCGGCTCCGGGGGGAGGGGGTGGTATCATTGCTTTCTTCGGAGGTCTTTCTGTGATCTCATGGACCTGCATCTCATGCTTGCTCATGCATCTGCAGGCTTGCAGATAGCAATCGCGGGCGACTCTCCTGTCGCAACGAACCGTACCTATCCCACTTGGTGTGCAGAACTTTAAGTAGAGGTGCTCGATGGAGATCAATGCTCCCAGACCCTCTAGGCCCGGCCGTCCGAGTATGGTGTTATGCTAGCAGGTCAGATCGACCACAATGAATTTCATGTCTAGCTTCTGTACGTCGGGATAACTGCCGATTTCTACCGGTAGAGTAATGGATCCTTCTGCTTCCACCGAGTCGCCCGTGAAGCCGGTGAGTGGTGTTTTGACTGGATTCAATTTTCTCTCAGCCTAGTCCCATTTTGGTGAAGGTTTCAAGGTATAGCACGTTGACACTGCTCCCGGTATCCACCAGGATCCGTCGAACGACCACCCCATTCACATCCATTGTGATGACTAGGGCATTGCGATGCGGCGTCTCTCCTGTAGGTAGATCCTTGTCAGTGAACGTGACGGGCTCTCGGCAATTTTTCTTCGAACCTTCTTCTCGCCCGTACACTGTCCCTACGTACAACTGTCGGGCCCAAGTTTTCCTAGTGTTTGCCGAGTCGCCTCCTTCTGGTCCGCCGATTATCATGTTAATGACCGGCTTTTGTCGCCATTGGGCCTCGTCTTCCTCGGTCGCAGCCTGCTTGCCGCGACTGTTTTCAGCTGCCACCGCGGGGTCGCCGTTTTCCCGAGCCACCGACCTTCTCCGCCACTGGTTAGGGGGCAGGGTTCCTTGCTGAATGATTCCTTCCATGATTTTCTTCAGGTAGTAGCATTCTTCCATGCTGTGAGTGTAGGATTTGTGGTAACGACAGTATTTACATATCTTACCCGGCTCTTCGTTTGTTGAGCGCTCCTCAATTGGGGGAGGCGGAGGAGGTGCGACTGCTTGTACCTCGTGCACCGAATGTTGAGGAGTCGGCCTGTAGGGATGGATGATGTGCCTGTCATAGGGGCGCCTAGCTTCAGGCCGCCTGATCGCTTCCGGGCGTCTCTCCTTGGTGTCTGCGCGGGTTCTCTTTCCGCTAGCGGATCCTCCGACCTCGCGCTGTCGCTTGTGCTTCATAGCCTGCTTCGTGTTAGCTCGCTTATTAGCCATATGTATGGCTTCTGCGTAGGTGGCCGATCGATTGTCACGTAGATCGCGATACAGTTGCCCGGACGGTAAAGATTCGATGAAGAAGGTGAGGGCAGTCTGGTCCTCGACCTCCTCGATAGACTGGATCTCCTTTTGCCACCGGGCCAAGTAGGTTTTAAGGGATTCATCTTCCTCTTGATGAACGTCCCCCAGGTGAGTCAGATCTTTTTGCGATTTGATGTTGGCCGCGTAGTGACTCATGAAGCGGTCGGCCAGCTCTTCAAAATTGCGTATCGATCCTGGGGGCGGGGCCACTAACCATCTTTGCGCCGGTCCTTTTAGTGTCGGTAGGAAAGCGCGACACATGACAGGGTCTCGGACCCCTAGGACATGCATCTTAGCCTGATAACTCAAAAGGTGCTCTCGCGGATCACCGGACCCGCCGAAGGTGGCCTGTTCCGGGAACTTGAAGTCGCCGGGTACCTTGTAAGACATAATCTCGGAGGAAAAAGGAAAGGCGGTGAGCAACGTCTGCCCAGGGGATTTGGTTCTTCCTTCCATTTGCTCCTTCAGATTTCGCACCTCTCGAGCCAGTTGAGCCACATCCTCGTCATTTTGCGTGTGGTTCCCGGTGGATTCCGTGCTTTCGCCGACCTCCGACTCGGCCTGTTGGTCGTTGTTATGTCTAGGTCGCTCGGACCGTCGTGCCCGAGTTCTAGTCCTCCCAGTACGAGCTCTCTCGCGGGCGACCTCTCGGTTTTGTGGACCCATCAGTGCGCGACTGATAGGCATATTTTACACTCATATTTTAGGTACATCTTTATAATAATTTTGCACTAGTTATTTATAATTATTTAATAATTATTTCATTTTAGTGTTTAATAATTAATTAGTTAAATAAGTATTTTCTATTAATATTTAGTTAATAATATGTTTTGAACCAATGTGATATTAGTAAGCTCTTTAATTTAATTTTAATGCTTAAGTATGCTTGTGTTTGGCCCACCCCTTAATTCAAATAATTAACATTGTATTTTAATTTGTTAAGGCACAGCAACGTGAAAAGAGGGCAACGTGAGAAGAGGAATTTGTCAAAGTCACCGCATCATGTGTACGAAGACACGTTCACCTCCTACATGCCGCATGAATCTCTCAATTTTGAGTATAAATAAGCTTAGCATTGTTCTTTGTAAAGACACACATTTTCACGTTCATTCTTCCCCTCTCGATTATACTGTAAAGCTGTTATCAATGTCCATTCATTGCTAATTTCTTTAGCTTGGTTTAGTGAATTGAAGCCCCGGAATTGATTATGCTGTAAGATTATTTATTTATTTTTATTATATAATTTTTATGCATTTGGGTATTAAATATTCTTCTAAGTTATTTGAATAGTTGTATCATTTAATTGCTAGGGAGGCCTACTAGTTATTTACTTGATATAATTATTTGCTATATTAGATAATGTTGTGCTACAAATTATTCTAATATTCAGTAGCAACTGGGTTAATTATTGACGGCTTAGTGATAATTGGACTCGGGTAGAATATTTTCCTAAATTATATGCAACCGCTTGTGCTTGTGTTATTTAGTTTGTCGGTTTTCCTAGTTCCTATTGCTGCTATTAAATTAAATCTATAGCGCTTGTCTTAGGTTATTTAGTAGTTAGGGGTAATTAAACCGCGTGTGCTTTAGTTACCTACAACTAAGGAAAAACGGAAATGAAATAATTTCACGACAAATATTCAATTGCATATTAATTGCTTTATGAATCAATGATCAGTGTTATATTCCGGTGGTGGATCTTTACTAACCAAGGTTTCTTATTATAAGTGTTTTCGATATATTATTTTCATTGCTTTATTCGTTTATTTTCTTTCATTATCACCTTGATAACAAAACCCCCTTTACTTTAATTTGAACACATACATTAAACTAGTTACTCCTCGTGGGATCGATCCTTACTCCCGCTACTACGTTTGTAAGGTTTTAATTTGGGAGCCTACGACAGCTCACCAAATTTTGGCCCAGAATCTCTACATATGCAAACAAATTATAAAACAAATAATAAAACTAAATTCCTTCCCCACACTTTGTTTATGATATTTCTTTAAATTTCTATCGTATTATTATTATTATTATTATTATTATTATTATTACTATTATTATTATTACTTTAATATATTAGTATCGTCGTTGGCTCGACATACTAAAAGGTTTTAATTTACAAACGTAGTTTTATTATCTGTTTGCATATGTCAAAATTTTCAAAAATTTTCACAAATATTTTCTTAGTATTTTATGCTAAATAAGTATTATTTTGAAAAATTACAATATTTTTCTTTCTTGGAATTCATGACATGATTGAATAAATAGTTTGGCAAGTTGTGATTAGTTTGTTAGCATTTCTTGTTTGACATGTAGTGGCTATATTAAGTAAGCAATAAACATGTGAGTGTTTTGAGCCATTGACTGACACTTCGGTCTTATTTTTTTTCTATTGTGCGATTTCTTCCATAATTTTGTTTCTCTAGAACTTGCCTTGATTCTCTTTTAAAGCTAATTATACCATGCATGATTCAAGTGTGATTAAGGCCATTATTTGATTTTGAGCCTCACTAGCCAAATAACCGGTTTGTCCCATGATTTATTTTCCTTCGTTAACCCACTTTGAGCTTTATGGCCATTCTTTTCTTTATTTTGAACCACATTACAAGCCTTTTATATCTAAAAATAATGCCTTCACCCAGCTGAATAACTAGTGCAGCAAATTTTGAATTATTCTTGTAATCTACGTGAGGTTGTGAGGAAGAAGTGTGGGGGAGGTCACTTTCTTGTGTTAATATGATTGAGAATGAGGTGGGTTGTATCTTCATTACCGATTTGTCGCTGGTCCTCTACGAAAAAGAAAACGAAGACAATTCATGATTCCAAAAAAAAAAAAAAAAAAAAAAATATATATATATATATATATATATATATATATATATATATATATGGAGACTGAAAAAAATGAAGAAATGGGAGAAATGATGAATGTATGTTGAAAAAAAAAATGTTGCTGAAATTTATGAGAAAAATAAGAAAGAATCAGCAATTAGTTTTGAGTTGAAGCCACTCCTAAATAAATGAAGCAAGGAGAAGTTCTTGTAATTTTGAGGAAGAATTAGGAAGAATTCTATATTTCTGAGAATGATAATTGGGTTGAAATGTCAATAAGAAATGCTTTGAATGAAAAACTGAGGGTGTTGATGAGCAAGGGTGTTAGATTCTTCGTATTTAATTGCTCCTCTAGTTTGAAGGTTTTGTTTAAACTACTTTCCTAAAATATTCACTACCCTAACCCTAGCCCCATTACAACCTGTGAAAAGTCCTTATGATTTGTGTCATGCATGACTCTTGTAGTGGTGATTGAGAAGGTACGCAAGCCTATGGTAGAGCAATTTTATAGGAATGAACTTGAGCGAAATCTTACCCATCAAACACTTGAGTAATGAGTGATATTCCTGTGAGGGCTTACTTATTTAGTTTTCTCAATTTTCAGACAGGGATGCTAACTTATTAATTGTAGGGTGTTCAGATTGTTGTTCATGATATGTTATGAGTTTTGGGAATTTCATTTCAATTTACTTCGCAAATAATATTTTTTGCTTGGGGACAAGCAAATATTCTAGTGCGGGGGAATTTGATATGAGCATTTTACACTCATATTTTAGGTACATTTTTATAATATTTTCGTATTAAGAGTTTAACAATTTATGAACTAAATTTAATACTAAATAAATATATAATATATTATAATATATATGTATAATTCAACAATTTCCATTCCATTATTCCAATGACAAAGTCAAGGGGTGGAGGTGGACCATAAAGGCTTTCATCATTTAATTTTCCAACAATCCCCCACAAATTTAAAGAGGAAAGGAAACGGGTAAGGTCTGAGCAATACAAATGAGTTGATCTTAATGTCAGTGTTTGAGAACTTGAACTGACACGTAGTGACACTGAGTAATTTTCTTCCCGGGAGTGATGTGAATCTTGAACTCACCGGTTAGATAAATTTTGAACTCTAATGCACACACCAACTCAAAAAGCAGGTTCTACAAAAGTCAAACTCTTTGACTTCTTATGAACACCCTTAGTATTACAGAATGTTACGTCTGTCTCAAATATGGACTTCTACCCTGTCAAAGTCTATCACAAAACAGACTTTTAAACGCTCCCAACAATCCCCCACCATTAAAGGGATTTAGGCTGATGCTGTCATTGCCTGATGACGATCAAAACAAATTTTCATGCCAGTGTATAAAACTTGAACTGTCATATAGTGACATTAAGTACTTCTCTAGACGGGAGTGAATTTGATCTTGAACTCATCGAATAGACAAAGTTTGAACTCAACGCACTTAATTTGCTTTGGTCGCCTTGAATCTCATGAGGTCATACTCACGACCCTGAGATATCCCCTGTTAGGTCTATTCTAGGATAGACCTTCAACTCTGTCAAATCTACCTCATCGCAGACCACCATGATCGGCTACAGAGTATTTATGGGTCCCATACCCATTTCCCTTGATGCGTCAAGGATGGCCTTTCTGTTTAGGCCCTTTGTGAAATGATCTGCAATTTTCCTTTCAGATCTCACAAAAACCATTGTGATTACCCCATATATTATTAGCTGCCGTACAGACTCATGTCTGACTCTTATGTGTCTACGTTTCCCATAATAGACATTGTTTTGCGCAACACAAATGACAGTTTGTGAATCACAATGTGGTGAAGGTGATGGACACTCCCACAATTACACGGTTATCTCCATGTTTCTTAGCCACTCAGCTTCTTGGGATAATCCCATTATCTTTCATAAGAGGCGGTTAGCCCTTTTCTACTCAAGTTAGGGATCTCTTTTAGGTCTATCTCAACATAGACCATCCCAATTGAGTATAAGACACCAAGAGCACTTTGTACTCATGTCATTATGCGGTGAATTCATTAGGTTTGTCTTAACAAAACCACCCTTTCTCAAAGAGTTATGTATTCATTAAGAGCTGTAGCTCAACCTCACAAGTACACACACTGTCGGAATGACCAACTAGTGTACTATTTTGTAACTCTTTTCATGGCTTCGTTTGACCACAGAAGTGGGATTCACCACGAATTCATTACCACTTGGACTTCAAGTCCTTCCAACGAGTCAACGACTAATCCTCATAATTAGCCCTCAAGTAAGTTGATTCTTTTGACCAAACTTACATGCATTTTGACGAGTACTTCGTTTACTCGTAAATAATCCCTTGAGATTTTCATGTTTAACATGAAACATTCTCTTTCATCATTATTCTCAATACCACAGAGAAACTTTGATGAAAATATAAGGAGTTTATTACCCCCACAATGCAACACTTACAAATAATTTTGTCAAACGTATTTGATCTCTTACCCAGACTAATATTTGGTGCTCAACTTTAGCTCCTTTGTAGACTGAGTTTTGCCGATTTGCTTTGTGTAGCATTATAGAAGCTTCGCACTTTGCCTGATACATGCTCAACAGTTTCAACAAACTTGGTTATCTCAATTGATCACAATTACCCTTTAACTAGGAATATGTTTGAGTTCATATTTATTCGGAATGTCTCTCAACAATGAGACTTCAGAATTGCCACTAGCATAATTTTTCCTTCCCTAAAGGAATTTAAAACTCATATAAAGCATTCATAGGATGCAGATCAATATTACTATTGCAGTACTTCAACAACTTTTATTGCAAGG